CTGCACGTGTTCTAAAATGAACTCCATTCTGTCACCCAAGTTTTCACAGCAAACACTGACCAGAACTGTTCCCAGATTACTCCCTGGGAGACCCTATTGAGATGTCCTTCCTCTTTGACAGCAAAGACTTTTAAATACAGGCTTTTGTTAGCAAGATTATTCCAGATTATTGTGCAAAAGTCAAAACTCTCCTACCTGTCACTGTGGCCAGTAAAACAAATCACCTCCCTGCTACAGACAAAGGCTGAGAGCCTGCTCAGAAACCGTTCCAAAGTCAAACAAAAATCCTGTGCAATATCAGGGAAAAGCAGCCCAAGCTGACAGCCCTGTACACAGCTGCTGTTCAACAGCTCCGGCTGAGGAATATCAGCACGACTGTTCTGTGTGCCCACACAATCCTGAACCGCGGTCCCATCTACTTCGGGGGGAGAAAAGAGGTGTTTTGCTAAAATTACCATAGTATAGATTTTTCATTTGTATTACCATAGCAACAAAGGACTCGGCTTGAACTGAGACCCCGCAGTGCTCCGGGTGAAGGGCACAATGCCCACAGGACAGACAGCCCTTGTCCCTTTGCGGTGACTGTCCCCATCCCGCTCGGAGGTGCGGGACATCGCCTGCAGGAAATTCCCTCCAAGAGCAGTGCCTCGGCAGGGAAGGGAAAGCAGAGCCCAGAGGAGCCGAGATCTCTGCACCCACGGGGGACAGCAGCGCACGGGATGGGAGCGTTCACTCGAGAGTCCGTGACAGAGCTCGGGCTGCTGGTGGCTCCTTAATCCTTAATCCCTTAATTCAGCTCGCTGCTTCCAAATGGAGATTACATCCACACCGAGTAACTTCCACCCAGATGTCAAACACATGTCATTAAAAAGTAGAGCTGGGCAATGTTCTCCAAGCGTGTGACAATGACCCGGTGCGCTGATTATTGCTGCCGTGCGCAGCAAGGGCGCCCCGGGAACACAGCACGGGCTTGGCTCTCCTGGAGCCTCTGCGCAGGTCGGGGAGACAGTCGGGATGGGGTTTGTGCTTTTACTTGTAATCCCGCTTATCCAAGCAGCGAGAGCCCGGTGCGCACGGCAGGGGCAGAGCAGCGGGGCGGCCGGGGATGGATCCTGTGCCGGGGCAGGGCTGCGGGCAGCCCGGGATGGATCCCGTGCCGGGGCAGGGCTGCGGGCAGCCCGGGATGGATCCCGTGCCGGGGCAGGGTTCGGGGCAGCCCGGGATGGATCCCGTGCCGGGGCAGGGCTGCGGGCCGGGCTGCGCTCCTCCTCGGCTGCGGGAGCTCCTCCTCCTCCTCCTCCTGCTGCCGCTGCTGCCGCTGCTCGTCCGGCGCGGGCGGTGCGGGGCAGGGCTGCCCGGGCGCTGTTGGGTGCCGGTGCCGGTGCCGCACCATGCGCGGGGCCGGGGCTCGGCCGGAGCGCTCCCGTGCCGCCCGCGGCCCCGGCGGAGGCGCCGCTCGGTAGCGCCCGGTGCCGACCCAGCCGCGGGGCTCCGCGCTCGCTGCCCGCTGCCGCCGCCGCGGGCAACTCGCAGGCAAGTTCGGGCAACTTGCCTGGCCCCGGGGGGAGCCGCGGGGCAGCCGCGGGGGCAGCGCCCGGCCGGGGGTGGCCGGAGCCGCCGAGCCCCCGGAGCGGGCGGGGCCCCCTCGGCTGCGGCAGCAACAGGTTCTGTCCCTCCGCAGGGATGGAAGAGAGGGAGCGGCCGGCATTCCCCGCCGGAGCCGGGCCGGGAGGGGCTCGGCCCGCTGTGCCCCGGCCCCGCCGCGGAGGAGGCTGACGGCGCTGCCCTCGCCCCGCGCTCCCCGGCCGGCTCCGCCGCTCCGCGCTCCCGGGGCTGCAGCGCACGATGGAGCATCGCCTCTGCGATTTCTGCCGCCTTGCCTAATCTGAAGGTCCTTTATAGCTTTTATTTGTAAATAATTAAGGGATGTGTTTTATGTTGGTGTGTTTACTGACTTCTGCTCGTTGGTGACTGACAGACGCATCGAGGGAGCTGTTCTTGATAGGCAAATGTCTTTCCAGTGGATTTTTTTTTTTCATTGGAAAAGACTTGGGGAGGGGTTGAGGACAGGACCAGCATGAAAGAACTCTTCCATGACTGCGTATCTTAATTTCGGTAGCACAATATTTATCAATACAAGTAAATGTCAAATCCTTTACTTTTTAAAATTATGTTTAAGAGATTGCTATGAATGTGACTTGCTAAAATTTGTTGACATAAATATGTTTCACAGCAGGAGAGTAACTGCACTTATTAATCCTGATGTATTTCAGAACATTCTCCTGGGGAAATAAGTTATCTGCAAAGTTATTTCACTTTTGATTATTATCAGTAGAATAAGGCTCAGCTTTATAAAACCAAACAGTGAGTAACATATTTGACATAATTCTCTTTGTAGGTTGTCATAAGATGCCACAACTGTCCAGCTCAGGGACAGCAAGACAGAGCATGTTTTTTTCATCTTATCTGCTTTTCAGGAGAGTTTTATTTCATGTTATACATTGACCTTTCTGAGTTTTACTTTGATTTGGCTGGAAGTGCAGTTTTGCAAGCAGAGTTGAAGTTTGAGGTCTGTTCTTAGGCTGTAAGGAGCTGCAGGAGTGTGGCAGGAGGTGCCTGGCAGTGAGGCACAGCACGGAAATCCTGTGCCAGGAGAGAGCTGAGTGTGGCACTGCTTGGAAATGCTGCCTGCTTAACTAAGGAAAGACTAAAGGAGGAGAGATCATTACATTGTTCCTTATGGCATTCCTTCCAAAAAATTCACTATATTCATATTCAAGCTGCACTGAAATCTGAAACTTTTTTTTTTATGTCTTTTTAAACTTAATTTACAAATGGTGAAAAGCAACAGAGATGAGATGCAGGCACTGGAATTGATAGAAGAGAAGAGGAGGGAGTTCTGCATCTTCTTTTCAGGCTTGTTATCATCCAGGCACAACTTTGAATTGTCTGTGCCGTGGAGCAGGAGCAGGACTCCTTGCAGGAGCTCTGATTACATCAGAGATGCACTGCAGAATTCAAAATACTGCAGCGGACACTGGGGGGGGAACAACACTTGCAGTGGAATTTATATCATGTTTCTCATGAGTTCTGTTTCCTTCTCTCAAGAAGGGCATCTTTAATAATTCTTTTCCCATTGCCTCGGAGTCTGGCATCCTTCCTGAATTTTGGCTGCAAGTAAGGGCAGCACGGATTTCTAATTTGATTTCTTCACCAGACATAATGGATATCATCTTGTGCAGGACAGATTGTTGAAAATACGTCCTCTCTTACTTGCCATGCACAATCCACCCCTTGGAGTCACCCAGAGCCCTTGCCCTCGGCTGGTTATTCCGTGTTCCTGCAGCTTCTAAAAGCCAGAGCAATCCCAGGGTGGATAATGCAGGAAGAGACAGTTCTTACCCCAGTAAGTTTACAGAACATGAGAGCGACGATGCTCAGAGAGAAGGGATGCCCAAGAGGAGAGCACACTGTCAGCAGGGCAGGAAGCTGAGCTGGCCTCCAGTGAGTCCCAGGCACTCCAAGGGCAGAGTGCTGCTCACACTCAGGCCAGGAGGGCTTTTACCCTTGGGCCTGACTTAGCCAGAGCAGAGCAGAGCAGAGCATTTCACTGTTGCAGCAGAGCCTCAAAGTTCACCTTGTTTGGTTGCTGTCAAGGCTGGGCTCTAGGCTAGCGTGTGTGTCTGACCTTACATTGCTGTGTGCTGTCTTCCCTCCTGGAGGCATTTCCTACCAGCTGTCCCCTGTGTCATCAGGCTGCAAAGGAGGAATAAAGCAGCTTGTTTGGGCTTTAAGATCAATAGGAAGGACACCTTCCATTAATTAGATCTCTCTCATCCTGAATACTGACCATCATTCTGTCGAGGCACCTCAGAAGGAAAAGAAGAAACACAGAGAGAAATGCACTGGTTTATTTTTTCTCCCTTCCTTCAAGTCAGGCCACGTTTATTATTGTCCTTTATCTCCTCCTACTCTTCCCCTGTAGATATGATGCTGCGTGTATCTGAGGCAGAGAACATGAAAATAACCCATGTGGAGCATCAGATCCTACGTGGGATTTGTAGGCTTGCCAGCTCTGGTTATGGCAAACCAAGGAGCAACCTTTTCTAAGTGCAGCCACCCAGTGAGGCACACGGGGGATTCATCTGTCCAATTTGTTGTCTCACACAGGTCGAGGAGCTGGCAGTGAAGAAAGAAATCCCTTTCTCTTTGCTCTGCTCTTTCACAGTTGCTGCCTCAGGGTTTCAGCGTGTGTCTGACACACGCAGAACATTTACATTTCCCTCTCTCCATTGCTTCCCATTGTGTCAACTGTGGATGTGCTGGGAGATCAAACCAGTGACAGAGATGAGCTGCCTCCTCATTTTTCCTGGCTGAGATTCAGAGGATAAGTTGTTGCTAACCAACATCATCTGGTATTACAGAAGGGAAAGTGGTTAACAGCTCCCACTTATCCATATCTTATATCAGTCATAATCTTCATTCTGTTTGGACCAGCCCTGCTTTAGACATGGCTCAGGCAGAAGGGAAAAGACATTTTAAAATAAAACAGCAGCTGGTCTGGGAGATGAAGCCCTACACAAACATCCATCAGGCAGCCCTGGTTTCCATGTCAAACCATAGCTTGCACGCCAGTGGCATTTCTTCTGCTGATCCATGGCAGGGGTGGGACAAGATGAGCTTTAAGGTCCCTTCCAACCCAAGCCATTCTGTGATTCTGGATGAGTGAGGAGTCAGGAAATAACTCTCCACCCAAAGCTGACCTGGGGCCACCTGTTTGTGAGTGTGCACAGAGCTGCTCTGTTCAGCCCAAACCCCCGGGAAGCTCAGGAGCAGGACTGGGAGAGTTTTTAATTGAAGCATTGTATGTGCCCTTGCAGCAAGGAGAGCTCTTAAACTGACGTGCAGCTGTGCTTTGAGTCCTTTGCTGTGGGGTAATCATTTGTTTTTCTTCTTTAATAGGTATGTACCACTCCTGGTGTGGTTTATAAACCCAGCTTCTGAAAAGGAGGGTTCTGTGGCTCAGCAAGTGGCCCTAGCAGGGGTTGTATCCCTGGGGTGCACATCCAAGGGGAGGTAAGTGCAGCCAGGACAAGAACAAAACTCCACTGAAGCCAATCAACTGGAATATTTATTCCTTTCCTGTGGACCTCAGGCTAGAAACCCAAAATACTGGTGCATATTTAATGTCTCTGTATTGTACAATCTCCTTTATAAACAAGCACTCTTATCAAGTGAAACTCAGGGACTCCAAGCACTAGCTGAGGCTGAGTGTGCAGATGAAAGTCTTGGAGCAGAGCCTCCTGTGGAGGAGCAGATTCCAGGCTGACTCCTAAAGTGCAGTGACTAAGGGAGGCCGGGAGTTTGAACGTTTCCAGCTCCTGTGTTTGATGCCCAGCTGAACTCTGTTCTCTTCACTCCCTGGACTTTACGCCAGTGTTGCATGAGCTGAATTTGAACGGGATTTTGCAAGTTGTCATTAGAAATGTTTGGGTTCTCACAGTCAGAGGTAGAGGCAGCTTGGCTCAGTGCACTGCAAGGACAAAGCTCTCTTACTGCATGTAGGGTGTCAGTGATAACCGAAACAACATTCCAAGGTCTGTATGGAAATCCTGTGTTTCTTTGCAACCTTTTGTAAATGAGGCCATAAAAAGGGAGTTGCCATGTCATTAATTGTGTGTAAACTCTATACAAATGTTTATGTGATCACCAATACAAGTGAGCTTTTTCCCCCCAAATAGTTTCCAGATGGCCTTTTAGAAATTAGTTTTGTACTAACTGGTTTTTAGAAATGTGTATTTACTGAATTACAACATAATTGACTTCTGATTGATTCTATTTATTTCGTGGATGCTAAAATACTCAAAAGTTTTATGAGTAATACTTTAAAAGATTATACAATTTAATTTTTCTACAAAAGACACTTGAATCCTGTGTCCTAATGTGATACTGTCATCATTTTTATACCTCCACTCTGTACCAGAAACATCCTGCCATGTGGAGGCATTATTTCTGGTTTCCATCTTTATCTGCTGGGAACTGAGACCTCTGTATCTGAGAGAGGAGAGTCCTCCAGTGTGATAAATCTGCCAGGCAGAGCTCCTGAACCGGGCACGGCCCCTGGCATGGGGTCAGTGCTGCCCAGCTGGACAAGCCCAGCCTGCCCAGAAAGGTCTGACCACGCTCAGCCACTGCTGTTTTCTTTCCAACTGCTCTCATCATCCATAGATGCTTTTGAGCTCCAACCACTCACTTGTCCAAAACCTGAAAGCAGCCTGCCATTTCCTCACCCCTGTGTCTGTTTTCTGTTCCAGAAGACACTTGCAGAAGCAGCGAAGGGATGCAAAGTTGTCTTCCAAGATGACTCTTATGCCTGGAGAAAATTCCGACTATGACTATAGCGCCCTGAGCTGTACTTCAGATGCTTCCTTCAACCACACGTTCTTTCCAGAATCTGAAAGCCTCAAGGGAGTGTTTTACCAAAGAGCCAGGCTAATCCACCCTCAGGAGGATCTCCTCAAAGGCTTCCACCCCGACGACCGCAAGCGCCACATAATTATCAACGTGGGGGGCATCAAGTACTTGCTCCCCTGGACCACGCTCGATGAGTTCCCCCTGACACGTCTGGGACAACTCAAGTTCTGTACTAATTTTGACGACATTCTGAACATCTGTGACGATTATGACGTGACGTGCAACGAGTTCTTCTTCGACCGCAACCCGGGGGCGTTCAGGACAATCCTGACCTTCCTGCGGGTCGGCAAACTCCGGCTCCTGCGGGAGATGTGCGCGCTGTCCTTCCAAGAGGAGCTGCTCTACTGGGGCATTGAGGAAGACAACTTGGACTGGTGTTGTAAAAGGAGGTACCTGCAAAAAATGGAGGAGCTCACAGAGATTAATGAACGGGAGGATGACCTCCTAGAAAATGAAACAACAGGTGAAACAGTAGAGGAGACAAAAATTGGTTTGTGCATGAAAAAGTTGCAAGACATGGTGGAAAGGCCCCAGTCTGGCCTTCCTGGAAAGGTGTTTGCGTGTTTGTCTGTTTTGTTTGTAACTATTACAGCAGTGAACTTATCCATCAGCACCATGCCTGACCTGAGGGAGGAGGAGGAAAAGGTAAGTTACCTTTCAGGATGCCAAGTGGTATGTGCTGGGAAGAGCAGAGCAAGTACAAGGTCTGAGGTTATTGACTTCAATGGGGATTTTGCAGCTGTCTTTAGAGGGGAGAAAATATTGTGAAGAATATTTGAAATGTTACATGACTCTTCAATTACTTGTAAGAGAATTAATCCTATCCAGTTTCATGTCCAAAGAAAATTCTCTTAGCGCTCTTCTGTATCTTACCTTGTTAGACTTTGTATTTGCTATTTAGAAAGCCTGAAATTCCCGAGCAGTATCTTCTGTGGAATAAGCAGTGCCTTTCTAAGTTTTGCATTTAGCATGTTCCAAGCTGCCGACGTGTTTCCCCATAGCAACAGCTTCAATTCCTTTAATATTTTGGCTTTAAAAAAACCAACACAGAAGCCTCTCCTCCTGTCACCGCACCAACTAAAACAGTTATTACCCAGAGCCGATTACAAACTCCTCCTCTTTCCTGCAGGGTGAGTGTTCCCAGATGTGCTACAATATTTTCATTGTGGAGTCTGTGTGTGTGGCATGGTTCTCCCTGGAGTTCCTGCTCAGATTCATCCAGGCCAGGAGCAAGCTCGCGTTCCTGCGGAGGCCGCTGACGCTGATAGACATAATCGCCATCCTGCCCTACTACATCACCCTGCTGGTGGACACGGGCTCCGAGGGCTCCAAGAAGCCCAGCTCGGGCAACATCTACCTGGACAAGGTGGGGCTGGTGCTGCGGATCCTGCGGGCGCTGCGCATCCTGTACGTGATGCGGCTGGCGCGGCACTCGCTGGGGCTGCAGACGCTGGGGCTGACGGCGCGCCGCTGCACGCGCGAGTTCGGGCTGCTGCTGCTCTTCCTGTGCGTGGCCATCGCGCTCTTCGCGCCCCTGCTCTACGTCATCGAGAACGAGATGGCCGACTCGCAGGAGTTCACCAGCATCCCCGCCTGCTACTGGTGGGCCGTCATCACCATGACCACCGTGGGATACGGGGACATGGTGCCCAGGAGCATCCCCGGGCAGGTGGTGGCACTGAGCAGCATCCTGAGCGGCATCCTCCTCATGGCCTTCCCGGTCACCTCCATCTTCCACACCTTCTCACGCTCCTACCTGGAGCTGAAGCAGGAGCAGGAGAGGATCATGTACAGGAGAGCACAGTTCTTACTGAAAGCCAAGTCTCAGATGAGCAATGAGTCGCAGGGCAGCGAGGTTTTGTTCACCACTCTCTCTTCCGAGACTAGGGACAATGAGTGAAATTTACCTTACTGTTTCTCTTGCTGTCATTGTACCGGATTCCGTCTCTTAATTCGCTCTGGAAGCACCTTGCAAAGGTAATCCTCATATTAAAACAAAGAGAAGGGGCTCTAACCAGGACCTGATGTGGTTTAAGAAGTCTGTTATTATGCTGTTCCTTCCTCCCCCCCATATAATGTATAGGGCAGAACTTTCACTGAGATCATGCTGTGGGATTTAAGGAATTAAAACTTCTCTGGCAACAACAAAAAATAAGAGCAACATATAATTATGCACTTGACAGGCTGTTTTGCCATTTGTAATACACATTTTTCCAACCGAATCACAATGTACATAATCATTAAACAGGCTACCATTTTTCTCGTTCCTCTTGTATATAAATAATGTAAATACATCAGAATTAATGGCTAAATTGTCTCCCAGTAACACGCCTTAGAGCGTAATGGAAATAACCACAGATGTTTGTCCCATTGTGCTTTTAAAAAACGTCAAGTAAGATTCGTCACTGAGCACAGAACCAGCTCTTCCTCTGCGAGTCAGCCCTAACCACAGCAGAACAGAAGAATCGAGCTGTTCATAGCCTAACCTTGCTAAAGATGTAAATACTCAGAGCTCACCAGCTTCCAAATTTAATTGCTGTTACAGCATTGATCCGATGCCATCGAATGCAACATTCCAAGGAACAAAGCCTTGGAGTTTTGCAGCACTTAATGCTGTTATCTAGAGGTGACTAGCTGCAAACCCAGTGAAATATGCATGAGGAGATGCCAGCCTCCCCACCATCTGCTCCCAGCTTCACTCTCCCTCAGCTCTGAAAGGGAACTGGGAGAGGGCAGTTCAGGGACCCCAGCACTGCTGGGCAAACTGGGGCCACCCCTTCCCACGAGCTCTCCCTTCTGGGGCAGGAGCAGGAGCTCTGTGCCCGTGAGGGAAGAAGAAAATCGGATTTGAGTCATGGAGGGGCACATGGAGAGCTTTGTGCTTCCCTGTCCTCCACCAGGAGGGACTGGGCACAGGATTCACTTCAGCTCTGCCATCGTTACACACCTGCTGGTAACGGGGAAGGTTTTAAATAGGACAGGAAAAAGCAATGAACACCCTAAAGCAGAGCCAGGTATCGTTCATCTTGGTCCAGGCTCTGTCCCGAGCACAGGGACACTGGGGTTTGGCACAGGTTTCTGTGCAGGCTCATGGCAGACCCCCTTTATTTCAGAGGGAATGACCCCGACTTGCAGAACAGCTCAGGAGAAAAACTCCAGAACTTCAAAAATAGTTAAATACAACTTGTTTGGATTTGTTACAAGAAACTTGTTTGATTTCAGGTGTGCTTACAGGTAAAGAAAAGCTGATTTAAAGTGTTTCACCTATTTTCCACTCTTTTCCAGTAAAATGACTTACTAAGATCTAATGGAAATGTAGAAGTCCCCATCACACTGACCAATGCTTCTTTGTCTTAATTTTCAGAAATACCATTTCTTATTGGCATTTCTAGAGCAGGTTGCAAGAAATGTCAGAATGCATAATGGTTTATGGTTTAAATGAAGGCCAAGGACACAACATTGTCCTTCCAAAAAAAGTAAATTCAGTTTCTCAGTCTGTGCTGTTTGGCCTAACCTACAGCACACTGATTTTCTGTTCAAATTTCTTTAAAATACCATTTGAAGCTGTTCTGATATGCTTGTTCCTGAAGGAAAATTCCAAAACTTTTAAAAATGCACTTTACAAATAATTAGGGCTCTAGCATTCTCCAGCCTGTGGTAGGGAAATGTGCCTATGGAACATTACTGCAGAGTGCTAAAATATCCAGTCTAAACTCTTGGCAATTAACTCTGTGCCAAAGCTGCAAATGAACCCGCTTTTCACTCTTGTTCTTCATCTTTAATTAGAGTTGGACAAAAAACAGGAACATCGTGACAAAAAATTCTTCTCCCCATTTTTTTTTTTTAAATTTCAAAACTGTTTGATCATCTGGAGCATTGGCTCCAGCACAAGTGCTATGCATCTTCTACCTTTGTGTCAGCGTTCGTTATAAAAAGAACTGGTAATTAGATTAGTCCTGTGAGCAACAGTTGCTTATCTAAGAATGTGTTTGACAGGCTGAGCCATAAATAAGGAGCTGTACGTGAATATAAGGAGAAATCAAAACTTACCAAATAAAACCTAAGCTCATTTCCATGTTCTGCTAGCTAATAAATGCTGTAGGGCCATCCATTTTCTCACTGTCTTTACATTAATGTTCATTTATTTCGTGTATCACTTAATTTTTTTTATCCCACAACTAGAGCTTGATTCTAAAGCCCTTGTCCAATAAAAATAAAATAAAAAACATCACCCTGGAGTTGGGTGTTGGTTGAGCAGAGCTGTGAAAGCATCTTGCCTGTTGCGGGTTGTGCCAAGGAGGGACGGAGAAGCTGTCGGGGATGTGCCCACCCTGTGTCGGGCTGTGCTGGGCACCAGGTGAGCTGTGTGAGCAGCTCGGGGTGTGTGAGCAGCTCAGGGTGTGTGGTGGATGGCTGTAACCTCCCCGGTGTGCTCCACAGGGAGAGCTCTTGCTGTGCTGAATAAATGCAGCTCAGAGTCCTCCGAGCACAGCCTCAGTGCTCCAGCTTTCCTGGGGCTCTCCGTGCTCGTGCCTCTCTGTTATCTGGGTTTTTAGTCAAATCCATGGCAATGGTGGCTTGGCTGTTTCCTGTGGCACAGCTGTCACTCCTGCCTGGCCTTTCCCAGCGTGGGCAGTGAGCAGCACAGCTCCAGCCCGAGCACTGGGAGCGCTGATGGAGCCGAAGGGCAGCGCCTGGCAGGGGCTGGCATCGCTCTGGTTCCTGCTCCGGGGGCCCTGGCCAGCTGCAATCCCACAGCAGGAGCTCTGCTCCTCGGATTAACAAAGGGATGGGCTCTCCCTGCCTGTCCCTGTGCTCCTGCAGGAGCAGAGGGGTGAGGGTGGCACAGGGAGTGTGCCTGGGGCACAGCTCTGAGCAGGGCCAGAAAGCAGCAAAGGAAATTATCCCCTGCAGGAAAATCCAGGTACAAGATTGTGTAGGGACACCTCTTCCTTGCATGTTGTTCCAAGAATCACAATCACAGCTCTTTGGGACAGAACTTTAAAACATTTTAACAAAGAATCTGTCAGATTCAGAAGAGAACAAGAAGGAGCCATAAAAACTGAGAAAGAAAAGTCCCTGTAGAAAGCAGAATTTCCAGGTAAGGTGGTACATTAAATTACTTTCTCTAAAATCTTTCCCTTTCCAGCCTCCTCCTGCCTCAAAACCAAGAGAAGCCCCTTGGTGGGTGCAGCACAGGAAAGAAGGCAGAGCCACGTGGAGAGTCACTCCAGAGAAGGTGACTGAAACCATTCATTTTGTGCTCACATGCACCACAGGTCAAGGCCCTCAAAAATTCTCTGTAGGGAATATTTAGAGCTCGTCTCCATTTGACCCTTTACCATGTTCCCAGTGTAACTCAGCACCCCAGATCTCCGCAGTCAGAGGCTTTAGCAATGCCTAATTAAACAAAAAGCTCACGCAGGGCTGAGTCACGGATTCCCACGTCTGGGAAGGAGCCCTGGTGTGCTCCACACATCCCTGACTCAGGCAGAGCTTCACTGGGGGCTCAGCCTGATGCAACAGCAACACTGTTTGCTGCAAAATTTCACACCCCGCTTTGGGGTTTGCAACGGGCTCAAAACTGGAGTAGATAATTCTAAACCTACATAGAGTGAGTTGACTGTTTAATGATTAGTGTTTAAATTAGAATAATTAGAAATGAAACAATAAAAGAAGTGTCAAATGTGACTTTGAAGACCACGACATCAATCCCTGCTCACACCAGTCCTCTGGCTGGGCTGTCACAGATGTCACCATTTTCACAGTCATTACTCACCATTTACTACCAGGAGTTGGTACAATACTGCATGGCCCATTTTTGCTGTGACAATAATTCTGTTGGCTACCTCATGCAAGATTTGACAGTGGATTTAGTATCTATTTATCCAAAAGGTGACAGTGGTACCAAAATGCAGGGAGGAAAAGATCCCAAGTCTCATGAGCTGGGGGATCTGGAGTGTCCCAGACACACAGAGTGCAGCCTACAGAATCCCAAAAGATCTGAAGGCATGGAACTAGAGCAATTCAGCTGGCAGCAGATGAATGTCACCCTGTCAACAAAAATGCACCTCAAAAGTTCTATTGCTACAGCAGAAATTGCAAACCGCTGGATTCACCCACTCACATCCTCTGTGGGATTTACCCACCCTGTTCCAGCATCCCTCATGACCTCAGCCTGCCTGCCACAGGGATGCTCAGAGCCAAAGCAAGGTGAAGGCCAGGTTAGATGGAAGATGTGTTCCCTGAATGGAAGCAGCTTGTGTGATCCTCAGGACAGGACTCTTTGTCTGGCTGGCAGTCACTCTGCAAAACCATACACCACTAATAAAGATACATTTCTACACCACCAATAAAGTCTCATATAAAGGAGAAATATAAAGTCTCCAATAAAGGAGAAATTTGTGTGCTGCCACCCTGAAAGTGTTCAGAGTTTGGCCTATTAATTTTTAACATTAAAACAAGTCCTCCCTCCTTTTTTGCTCATTGTTTTTCTTTGTCATTTCCCAGTGTCTCGCATCTCTGAAATACTCCCTAGAAATCCCTAACGAGATGTGGAATGTTATTAGCCATGAGCCTGCCAGGAGCATGGTGAGGAAACTGCAGGATCAGGATATCAGGGGATCTCCTGCCCTCTTCAGCAGGGCTTTCACTTTTTCTTTGCCTGCAGGAACTAATCCAGAAGCAAATGTCACTTGAACAGAAATTAAGTTCTGCCATAACTGGAACCACAGCAGGCCAATTAGGGTAATTAGAGCATATTTGCTACACTTTATAAATATTCATTCATTATCCCTGTAGCCCTTGTGACAGGAGCTGGAGCCTCGTGCAGCACCAGAGGCAGGCAGGGCACAGAAACCTGTGTAACTCTGTCAGGCTGAGGTCTCAGCTCCTCCTTTG